AAAGAAAAAATAATAATAAAAAATAATAAAAATTCGAAAAAATATTTATTACAAATTATCCACGTCAACACTGATCGTGCCACGTAGGATGTCTGGCGTCCACGTCAGCAATTTCCGATCAAAATTAGTTAGATGGAGTCAATTGGTGAAACGTGAAAATATTTAGAACTCAATTTGTACAATTAAAATATTTAAGAATAAATTGCCAAAAGTGCAATAAGTTTAAGAATTTTTTGGACAATTTTCCCCTTTGTTCTTTGCAACCTTGCATTATATTTGATTTTTTTAATAATTGTTCTAAAACTTTTTGTCTATACTTCACTATCGAATTTCTTAAGGAAATAAAGAATAAACATTTGGTTTCTTACCCAATAATTTGTACTTGCACCGTCCTCAATCTCCCATCATGTGCCATGCACCAAGTTTCTCTACTACATATGCATATTACCTGTCATTCTCTTGGTCATATTATATGATATGTCACTCACGATCTGTCATTCTATTACACACGAAGATACATCTACATCTATATTTCTTGAGGCTAAATGATCATATAGATTTATTTAAGATCGAGGCAACATGTTGCTAGACGCTCATATGCTAATGGGTCCGATCTCTAATTGAAAAATTGAAAGATATGCAGGAATTTTCCATTTATTTGATGCATGCAATGCTTTATGGTTATTCTATATTATCTATTTTCCTTTTTTGGGTTTATGTAGGGTTAGCTAGCTTGTTATCTTTTGTCAATTCCATTTGTCTTTATGCCATTATAACCAAAACCTCCCTCCACTCTTGCGACAACAGTATTAATAAGACGGGAATACAATCTTCATGTGCTCTCGCACATGGCAGGGAATGGCGTGCCAATTACTTGTGAGATTTTTCTTCTGCAAATCGCCCACGAATTAAATTTTTGCTTCTATATAAGCATTTTAATTATATGTGTGTTAATGTGCTGGATAGACCTAATTACATTGTAAAAACCGAGTGAAATTTTGCGCACCTTTGTAAGAGGTCCATTGCATGTTTCGTTATTCTCTTTTACATGATTGGTATGATTTGATGAAATAAGTCTAGATGAAATGTGCTCTTGATGTGCTCTTAACGTAGCTAATGTCTCGAGGGGACGAGCCTAATCCCTTGATCACTGGGCCACCCATCTTTTAAAGTGTGCATGGTTTCCCATTAATTATTCACACATTAAGGCAAAGAACTTCCTTGTATGATGGTTTGGAGAAATTTGTACACTTCATGTCATCTGATAATGGACTTGCCAAGTTGGTGTGCATGACGGATATATTGGACTAAATAACTCAAAAAAGTCTAAAGTGATCGACTACTTGGTTTCCTTGTCAACCTCACAAAGAAAGCAACACCTCGTTCTCCTTCATCTCTATGATTTTTCCAGGCACATGGTGTTGAATTAATCAAGCAGTGTAATCATATGTTCTCTGGTAATTTGTGCTTGATACTCATTGTCAATGGTAACTTCCGACAAATTTATAGGCGTAAGGTGCGCGGGAGCGCAGGTGTATTTTTTTTTTTTATGTGTTTTAAAGGGAGGACGAAGGGTTAGACCGATGTTCTCAGGGGCAACGACGGGCCTCTGGCTAGTTTGCGCTCGGTGAAATGTTAAGTAGCTTGTACTAAAGTTTGTAAATTATCTTCCTTTCACCCACCTAACCTCAAAATTTTAAACAATTTTTTTTTTATCTAGCTCGCTTCTTTTTCGCCAAATGGCATCTGGATTGCTTTAGAAATATCTGCTTACTCTAGAAAGTCAAAATTAGAATAATCCATCATCTGGAAGATAGAATCTTCTTCATATGCAAACTATGCAAGTACGTCATCATGAGTCTCTATTTCAATATTACATGGAGAAAAGTCATCAAATCATTTGTCTGTCAAATAGTGCAGAGTTGGTACTTCTGCAGAATACTGTAGGCAATAGAGTATAATAATTATTAATTAATGCATAATACAATGGAACATTAGAATTTAGAATTACAGTTGTGGTTATCAATTACAGCGCCTGTGGTGTACATTAATTTTTCTCAAGAGTTTGACGAGAGGAATTATGTCTTTGGTCCTGGATAGAATAGCCTTTTTATGCAAAATAAATATCTTTTGCAAAATAATTTTCAAAAGAAATCTATCCCAAAACTATTTTTCAGACTCGGTTTCTCACTGATTACTCATCCTAGTCACTTTTACTTCTCTCTTAAAATTGTTAAAATAATTTCTGATATTTTGCACAATCTTTAATTCTTTAGGATTAATCTATCATGAATAATTAAAGTTTAAATACAACATGCATGCAATCAAACAACCAAGTTTTCATTTATAGGTTTGTTACAACACAGTATAATTTTATACATCTTCACTATCAACTTTTGTTTGATGAACATAACTTCATAATTAATCTAATTTTTAAATTATCATTTACCTAGAAATAAAATGGATTAATATAAATTCACTCCCGGTAATTGTTTTTCTTATCCATTTGTCAATTCAGAAGTAATGAAGAAATAATTACCCACTTCAGATCGGAAAATTTCATATATAAAATAAAATAAATTAATAGTTTTATATTTTAAAATAAATCAATTTATTGTACGATACTTTTGTATTCATATACAACATAGGCTATATAGTCTAAAATTGTATTTCAGAAGTTTTTTTTATCTATATCTTTAATTTAAACTCCATGAGAGATTAAACTTGTCGAGTAACAAATCAATGAGTCAAAACTTTGTTGCTGGTTGCATGCAACTTAATTTCAAATTTAATTGTCTATGATAAATTAATTCTAAAATGATAACGATTGTGCAAAATGTTACAAATTATTATAATAATTTCAAGAGAAATTTTGAAGTGACTGTGATGAAGAGGGCAATGATGGCTGTGCAATTTTAGGGATGATTGGCAATGAAAAGTAGTTTGGAAAATGGTCTATCTTAGTAATTACTTTTCCAAAAGAATCCATTTTGTAATTAATGTGAAACACGACGTTTAATTGGGAAAAACAATAAAAATGATATGATGATGCTCGAATTGTTGTCGCTACCACCTCCATAATAAGAGTGCTGCTAAATGGATCGCTTTTTTGCGATTCAAGAGCAGTAATCGAATCATTTCTTGAGAGAGAAGCAAATTATACTTGAAAAAGTTAAATAATTGTTTTTGGTCGAAAAAGAGTTAAATAATTGAATAATTGAGAAATGTGCATTCACTTGGATATAGGATTGAACTTTCAAAATTATTAGTCTCATGGGATTAAGATCTTAGTTGACTTATTTCGTCCCTCTAGATTATGACATGACTACCATACAAAAAATACATTATATCATCAAAAAAAAAAACCTATTAGAAGTTGAGATTCATTTTTTTTTTTATTGTCTCGGTAAGAAAAAGTTTCGGAAGTGGGGAGGTTACTTACTCTAAGATCAGGGCATGCCAAAGGGACTTATAAGGCTGCGTTTGATTTGGCTTTTGAGGAAAGTTTTTGGGAAAACGTAAAGGCTTTTAAGTTAAAAAGTTTTTGAAATACAAGTAGAGTTTGGTAAATTGTAATTTAAAAGTGCATTAAGAAACAACTTTGGTTTAAATAGTGTTTGGAAAAATCACAATTTGCAAAGCAATTATACTTTTAAAAAAATAAAAACTCAAAACCTATGAGAACTCAGCGGCCGGCAGCCACATTTGGTCTCACTGGAGGCTCGGAGGTGGCTTTAGCCCTCACCGGTAACGTCGCGTGAGGTATTTTGGAATTATGAAAGTTTAGCGAGGGCAAAGTCGAAAGAAATATGTGTGTGTGTATATTCTGGAAAAGCTCAAAGCACCTTCAGACTAGCCTTGAGCTAAAGGCCTTTGAAAATGTAGTTGCATCATCCCAAAGCTGTCCAAAAAATTGCTAAACATATTTGCTTTGCCCAAGAGACTTTAGAGCCCAAAGCCCCTTGGGGAAGCAGTTCCCAAACGGAGCCTAAATGGACTTACAGATCGCCTATCAATAGAGGCCGTTGAAGTGGGAGCGGAAACTTGCCAATGCAAAGTGCCCAACCCTAGTTGATCGAGCCCCCCCTCCACATCGAGATTCACTTTTAGATAATGGGCATTATGAGAATTCGCATACCTGTTCTCTATAAGTATTTGTTGCCGTTTTCAAAATTCTCAATGGGATCCGAATTGTTATCATGTAGTAGAGATGAGCAAAAGCAATCGCCTGGACCGTACTGGCTGATTCTGGGCCGTTCCTAGGGCCATCGGTCCGGTTCCTGATTCTAGGTATACAACCATCCACCTGGATCGATTTTTTTAATTTTTTTATTTCTTAAAAATTTGTAAAAAGAAAACCCTAATCTATGTCTCATTTCACAAAGGAAGGCCTTTCAAGGCTGGAGCGACTATGTTTACTTATGCACGTGAGTAAGATGACAAGAACAAATCAAAACACAATAATAGTTGCTCATTCCAACCAAATTTTACCACAAACTGGAAAAATTTCTATAAAACCTATAACCTTACATGTAACTTACTAACTATAGAAATACCATATTATTACTTTCATCTTGAACATTAACGACAAATGAAAGAAAAACTGAATATGAGACCGGTTCTATTGGCCCAACCGGAAACCGGATCGAACCGCTCAAAAACCGATCACCCCTAATTAAAAGACGACCCGATAAGGCAATATAATTAATGAAATCCGATGAGCAAATTTTGGCTGCAAATTAGAGCCATTAAAGAGAAGTTCAAAACTGTAAGGGGCTAAAGAAGGCAATCAAATCCAAATTATCCCAAATTGACAAATCAAGTAGGCAAAAAATAAGGACTTTATGGAATGACCAACTCCCAAAAGCAAATATCTCATTTTCCTCCAAATGAACATCATCTAAATCTCAGCTTGCCAACACGACACTCAACAGATCATATAATCATCCGCCGTGTGAAATGAAATTGGAACATCCTCTGACGTTTCTCCCCCTCTCTCTCTCTCTCTCTCTCTCTCTCTCTCTTTCCCTCTGATGTTTCTTCAGGCAGAAATTAACACATCACATCCTCTCTTCTTTTCCTAGTTTCTTCTCCATCACCTTCGCAGATCATTTGTCCTCTTCTTCTCTCGACAAGATCCCTGACGCCATGTTCTCACTTTTACTCCAGAATCTCTGAACATAAAAAAAGAAGTCGCTCCTTCATCTTACACCCTCTGTTTCTCTGCTTTCTCTCTCTCTCTCTCTCTCTCTCCTCGACAAACATTAACCTCGGTGTATGTGCGGCTGACAAAAGAAAAAAGGAATTTTCATATTCATATTTCGAGCAATTTAACAAGCGGGTATGCATCGGGTCAATGAGAACTGCTTGGTTCCGTGTTGTCACCAGAGCTTCTGCTGAAGAACAGGGGAGGGGCACATGGAAAAGCAGGGGAAGAATCACGACAAGAATTAGAGGGTCGACTTCTTTTTCGTGATTGTCAAGGTTGGCACGCCCTTCTTCCTCTCCTTCTCCTTCCTCCTCCTCTGCTTTTTCGTTTTCTTCCTTCGCGATTTGAATCGATATCGACGGTTGACGAGGGAAAAGCAAGTCTTCGTTAGGAGAGCTTCCCTTTCCCCTTTTTTTGTCCTTGTTTTTCTTCCCTTTTGTTTTCGGGTGTTTCCTTCATCACTCACGAGACTTTGTTTCTTTGCGTACTTTGTTTATTCATGCAGTCGTTGTTTTTCTCGGGAAAATCGCAAACTGATTTTTTCTTTTTCCCTTTTATAATATTCTGAGCGTTCCTTCTTCCAATCAGGTGGTCGATAGCTGTTCGGTCGCTTGCCCCATCCGTTGCGTCATTCATTTTTTTTTTAACATTTTCTTGCTCTCGATGCGTTGCATACACTCTCTCTCTCTCTCTCTCATGGGGTTTTAGACTTTTTCTTGGAGAGTGACGGAAATGGCGGAAAATCCAAAGTTGGTGAGAATTCTTGGCTCTCTGGGTGTTGTTGAATTCTCGCGTTTTGTTGTGAAAAATCACGCCTTTCGCTTGACGCACAACTGTTATATTGAGCTGAAACCTTGGTTTCCTCGTCCAGATTGTTTCGGTTTCGTCTGATGAGAAAGTTTCGAGCAAGTTGTTCTGATGAGAATTCTCTTGTTCCCGCTCTGTTTCTCTCTCGCTTTCTCTCTCTAGGAACTCGAGAGTAGTGGGCCGGAGGAGAAGATGGGAACCCAGAAAATCTCGGTGTCGGATCACATGAACGGATTGCAAGCCGAAAAGTCCGATGACTTGGTCATCGACATGGAAAGTTTCTCGCATCTCGTTCCTTCTCCTTGCAAGGACATCAATTCCAGAGTCACTGTAAGTCTCTCTCTCTCTCTCTCTCTCTCTCTCTCTCTCTCTCTCAGTGTTTTTTTTTTCTGGAGCTGTTCTTTTCGGAAAAAAAAAGAAAATTTTCACCTGGTAATGTTTCAAAGTTTAATTCGTGTTCTTGTAAATGTATGTGGGGTTGTTAGAAGTGAAGTGAGCAGAATTAGCTTTTGTTGCCTTCCTTGATGTTGCTTGAGCTTGTACATTGTTTGTCCAGCATGTACATTGTACAGAACAAAGTAAATACATGCACTGCGAGAATTCGAATGTTCTGATATGACGAATCACTAAAATTGGGCGAATCCAAGAATTATGACACAGCATGTTCTTAGAATTACCCTGAGCAGCGAATTCGTTTGTGGTAAAAGAAGCAGAAATTGTCTGCTACTTTTGGGAAAATTTGAAATGTGGATGGTGAATTTCAAGATATTTTCTTCGAGATAGCGTTTCGATTTTGGTTTTGATCCAAATTAGGTGACTGTTTTCTGCAATTTTCCTGATAAATCTGCACTGTACTGATTGCTAATTTCCTTTTCCGGGTTCTCGAACAAATGTTTATCCGGAGAAGTTGCAGAGAAGCCTTTCTCGAAAAGGGTCACAGCGAGTGAGCGAGGACAAGGTCATCTCCAACGCAAGTGCCGCAGATAAGAACGAGAGCCAACCAGGGATTGTTCTGGCAACATCCTCGCCCAGAGGCACGCCCAGAGGTACCATTCCTTCTCCATATAAGCAATGTGTGTGTCCTTGCATGATTTCGCCATCAGTGATTCCATTGTCATCGTTGCATTTATGTCAGCGACAAATTGGAATTTCTTAGATGTGCGCGAGCTGCCCATTGCGCCGCTTGTTGTCATCGAATGCTCCAAAGGAAGGAAAAAAATAAAGTTGCTTTCTCTTTCTTAAGGGAAATTATTGTAATTGTGCTTCACATAATGCCTGGAAATTGGTGTAAGTTTGAAGAGTGAGTGATATAGGTCAGTTGGCCCATCTGGGCCATTTGGTCCACAATTTGATAGAGACAGAATGATGCAGATGAATAATAATAGTACCCAACAGAGTGCTAAATCTCCAGGTTTTTTATATTTGACCAACAAGCTGTATCCAGCTTGATGGGGATGACTCACTCTGCTTTGAAATTTCATATTAACTCAAACATTTAATCATCGACTAGATTATGAATTGATCATTGAAACCTGATCTTTTTCAGCGGTTGATTAGTTAGATTGAGAAAATATGCTGCCTCTGCTGGGTTAATCAAGTACGGTCCAATCAAACCGCGAATTAATCTTTTTATCTTGAGAAAGTTTTGATTTTTTCATCCAATTTTCTGAGGATTTGGTAGAATATGGAGCCTATCATTGTCATGGGTTCGGTTTAATTATCAAGCATAGTTGGTGGGAAAGTAAAAATGGGGCTCTGTATTTGGCAGAAGCATCTAACTGCAGGTCAACTCGAGGGAATAGCAAGTGGTGAATTTGGTTGGCAAAATTATGAAGAGTTCATGAAAATGTCTCACTGGCATCTATGGTTGTTGATTTGCAGCTTCACTTCTAGGGTCCAACTCGATGGACGCAGCTACGATGGCTGCTCTTGGGACGACCGATCACGCCAGTAAACTGCAGAACCACCATCAGATCACTGTCACCTCCGGAAGCATCGGGAGTGCTAACGAGAGCAGGTTCACTATCCGAAGAAATAGTTTCCGGCGATCTTCTCCGTCATGGATTCTCGATCCAAAGAGAATCCTTTTCATTTTCGCTACTCTGTAAGTTTACAATCCGTCGTCATTTTCAAAGTGTTGTCTGCTGCAAATTATTGTTAATAACATAAGTGGCACTTGTAAAAGTCCCAATTGCAATGCGGGATATTGATCTGAACAATTTTTGTGACAGGTCGAGCATGGGAACGATTTTGTTAATCTATTTCACCCTTTCGATTAGCAAATCGAGCCCGGATGGCGGTGATTTTGACTTGCCGCAGTAATCCCGGGATTGTCTTTACAACAGAGACTAGATTTAGCATTTACGCTTTGGAGTTTGGACTTTGGATTCGCAGCACAGAGCTACCTGATGGTGAGGTCATTTTCTGGGATCTTTTGGCACTCTCTTCTTGATGCGGAAGTTCAACCAGCAAAAGCCAACCAAAATCAATGAAGAAACTTAAAGAGAAAGGGAGGGAAAAAAGAAAATCTTGGGTGGATGAGAAATGATTGGTTTGGGAAAAATGAAGAAGAAAAGGAGAGGAAAAAGCTGAATCCATTCCATTGTCATTGATTTGGCTGGACCAGAGAAATCTTCATGGTTGGCCTTTTAGAGGATTTTTTATAGGTGATGACACGCTGCGAAGTGACAAAGAGGAGAAATCTTCTATTTTATAAGTTAGAGAGAGATCAAAGGCATATGGTTGAGTGCTCTGTTTTTGTTAGCATCTGGTGTCTCTTTACGAGCAATTGGATATTTCAGAAAGTCACTTTTTTTCTTTGTGAATATGTCTTCTCTAATATAGATTTTGTTCCTTTTTTAAGTACCTGGCTTGAGAATGAACCTTTTTGCGCGTGCATGCACATTCAAGCATGTGTAGGAGCAAATGTCTCTGCCTTTTTTCAGAGAACATTAGTCTAAACAGAGCGTGTTGGGGTAAGTACAGCAGGGAAGAGGAATGTAGGAGGGCCCTGTTATGATCGTACTGCCCAGGACTGAACAGGAAAAGGGAGAAACCAAAATCACTTTTTGCACGAAAAGCTGGTCGATCATAATGACCTTGCTTAAGAATTTCGATGGATAGGTTGTTGGTACATACAATAGAGAGGATTATTTCTATACTACTTCGTCAACCCACCAATTCCTAAATCGAAAACTTTTAAACCCAATGCAGCCAACATAACTTGCACAGTTGGGTCAAGAAGAAATGTGAAAAGAACAAGAGACAGTTCGCTCACAACTGGCTTTTCTTCAATTTTGGGAATCACACAGCTTCTGTGATTACAAAAAGTTGCCAAGACTTTTATGATTTATCAGAGTTGGTTCAGATTCTAACATCCTCACAACCTCTCTAGCAGTCATAACCCCAGCAAACAATTATTGCTTGTTTGTATGGCCAGCTTTCCACTTCATGTGATTTATGACAGAACCGGTCATGCAACAAAGTTCATGCAAAGGACAGCCATTAAAGCATATCTCTAAAAGGAAAATGCACAACTACTCCGGCAAGTAGCAGTAATTGCCTCGGCACCATCTTCATGCCAAGAAGGAATCGGTCATGCTCATTAAGAGCAGGAGATAACGGACAGCAGCACCCTAGATAGCATGATATAGAAGAGAGTAGAGTAGACCTAGAAAAGGAAAGCTAAGTAGTACTAATAGGCGAAACCTTAAATCGGAAATATGATGGGAAATGATTGCAAATAGCATCTCTCTGTCCGTTGGATTCTAGGACCAGCATTAGGACCAGAAGTCAGAAGAATCGTCTTCCCGATAACATTTGGAACAAGAAACAATACCAACAATGCATTTAATTCATCTAACAGCAGATTGCCATATGATTTTAATGATATTGCCTCATTTCTTCAAGAAATGAAAGACATATTATTAACGCTATTCACAAACATACAACTTGCATCCATGAGCGTACGAGGATGCTTAAATACTCTGTAGGTAGGTATTATTAGTTATTGTTCTACAGCAACAAGATGACGACCTCAGCAGGAGCATTGGCGACGCTTTTTCTCCCCTAGCAACTATGTGGTTATATTGAAAGAAAAACATATGGGAACAATCATGATGCTTGGGCATAATTGTTGGTGAAATTCACATAAATTGATAGCATACAGTCAGATCACTCTGTGCTTTGAAAGCAAACCTTTGCTCGGATATGGAAACGAAAGCTCAAGCAGAAAAGGACTCATTTTGGTGCAGTACACAGCCTCAGCATCCCATTTGGTACATGAGGACTTGGAAGTTGACTTCCTTTTCTTTAATATCGCTTTGAGATTCTTGGCATCGAACATCTTTGCTTCCTGTCATGGTATAGCCTCAAAACAACAGCTGCGGTTTCTTCAATTGCTTTTCCCGTCACCTCTTCAAGAAAGAACAACAAAATACTTCAGATTGATACAGAGGTGTAAGGTTTTCAGATACGTCAAAGACTTCATTGAGACTTAATTTATCAATCTTCTTACAACGTAGGCGAAATAGTCACATTTTTTGCCCCGAAATAGTGAGACCTAATAGTAGCAACAGGGAATGAAAAACCAAACAAGCAGACGAAAGACATCCTCACCAATGACAGGCCAAACTGGATTTTGGGAAAAAATCTTCCCAGCAAACTCCAGTTCTTCTCTGACATAGTCCATCTCTGAATAATTACTCCGAGTATCCTCACTGAAGCCCAAGCTCTTAGCTCTGGCTTTTCTTATCGTTTGCAAGACAACAGGATTGATCGTGACACCAAATACCTTCTCTGGGTCTACTTCAAACAGAGTCTTCGGCAACTCTACACCCATGACAATAGGCACGTTTGCCACTTTGTAACCTTTTTGAGCCAAATAAATGGATAACGGCGTCTTTCCAGTTCGAGAAACGCCAGCAAGGATGATATCTGCCTTGTGCAAGTTTTGCGGCAATGCACCGTCATCTTGCTTTATCGTAAACTCGATCGCTTCAATTCTTCGAAAATAGTCGTCTGTGAGAGGGAAGCTCCTCCCAGGCGCACCACGGGGAAGGCCAGAAGGAGAGACACCTAAATGAGAAGCAATGGCCTCAGTGATTGGGCCAAGGACATCGGTGGATGGTACGCCCCAAAGCGTGCAGGCTTGTCTTGCAGATTCAGCCATCTCAGGGTCAGCAAGGGTGTAAACAAGCATTGCACCTTCTTTTGCTGCTTGCTTCACAATATCCAGCAGCCTCTCCACATCATCTATCTAAATATGGATGTCAAAGAATAAAAATCAGGAGATGCAATAGCTAACTCGCTGAAATATGTATGATGTCGATAAATTGACAACCAACTACATGATGGACTTATCATCAACCATACAAGGTTTCAAACAAGGGAAGAGGCTGCTTCCCATCACCAATTAACCTTAGAAACAATGGTATTCCAGGAATTCTCATCCTAGGAATCAGTAGGGCAAGCAGTGACAGGACATTGCTGCGATTGAAGCCAGGGCCTTTCGTCCCTTCTTGAGGAGACAAATGGTGCCGCCACCATGCCACCAACTCAGTTGGCAAAGGGAAACTCATTTAGCCAGGTCCAGGGAGAGCAGAAAAAGAAAAAAGAAACGAAACAAAACCACAACTACGTCTCATTTACAAAGATCCAACCAATCCCGATACAATTTGTGCAACTTCTCTTTGCTCACCACGACACAACAACCCCGAGGCGCCAACTAATGGGTATCAGCACTCACCATCAGAAAACCAATTCGTCAGACTGCCATTTACATGATTTCCTCAAAGATGTGAAACTCCACTTAAAACTTTCCAGCCGGATTAGAGGAAAACCTTAATGCTTTTGAGCGACTGCAAGCTTGCAGCAACTATCAAGCAAACAAGTGAAGCTCCAGCACCAAATAAACTATGCATTGAACATGATGGTTTCTACATGGGCATGAATTCCTCACCATGGACTAAACGAAGCTACTCCATTTCGTCAATGAAAACACAACAATGCACGTTGCCCCATCATCTAATAATAAGCGATTTACAGTATATGACCCATAAAGAAGTGAACTTTATGTAAGGAAAAGGTGAGGACAAATTACCCCAGAAAACAAATGGGTGTTTACAGAACACCCACGATCCACCAAGCAATGCTCGAACTGGCCCAACGCGGCGTTGACGGAGTGCTCCGCCGTCCACCCCGTCCCGTCCGAGACCACGTATATCTGCTTCGCCGCCGTCGCCATCAGCTCCACGTGATCGTCGCCGTAGCTCCCGGTCGAACCCTCCGCGTCGCCCGAGAGCCCGTCGAGCAGCGCCGCCTGGGGGCCCGGACGCTCCGTCGCCGTCGCCTGGGGCTTCTGGGCCGGCCGGTCCAGCTTCCGGCCGGACCGGATCGCGCGGGCCCTGGACCACCGGTTCAGCTGGGCGCTGCCCTTGAGCTTGCGGGCTGCGGACGGGTCGGAGTCCGGCTCCGTCCCGGCTCCGGGCTGGGCGGCCGAGGCGGGCGGCGGCGTTGGGCGGTGGCCCGGGAGGTTCACGGCGGCGGCGGCGGCGGCGGCGGCGGACATCTTAGTATTTGCCGGTGGATTTTTCTCTCCTTTTTTATTCTTTTTTCAGGTATTGATCGACTGATGAAGATATTTAAATGAGTGATTTTCTCTACATTGGTGGCACAGTGCAGCGGGAGGTAGGACGAGGACCCGTCAATCAAGGAGAGCAAGAAAAAAAAAATGTAGGGTCTGATTTGTTTCGAAAAAAAATAAGTGATTTAAAAATTATTTTTTTTCAGAAAATGATCGGATGCAACGCTTGAAATAATCAGTTAAGAAATATTTTTATTATCAATAATAATTTATATTTAAATCATAAAAAATATTTATCGGAACTAGATCGAATCGGCTCAAAAACAGTAGTTCCTATGAGGACTGGTCCCATTCCCGATTCCAATTTACTGAAATCGGTGAGTATTGGTCCGGTTCCCGGTTCCAAGCGTGGAACCGGCCACTCAGACCGGTATATATAAAAGTTTAGCTCATTTTTAGTGAAGGTGAGTTTTTCTCACTCGTTTTTTGCCATTTACCATATAGTCCTACTCGTGTCTCACGATCCTCAAAATAAAAAAAATAAAAAAAAAACCCTAGCCTCATCTGGTGATGCCTTGAACTCTGTCGCTGCGCAGACTCGCAATCACCTCGCCTACGGGCTCCCTCACATCTCGCATTAGGCTCTCGCTCTTGCCTCGTTGAGTTGTGAATCTATAAGAATTGGAAATCAGTTCCATAGATCCATCCAGAAATTGGACTGTGCGGTGCGATCCGATTACCGCGTAGATCTATGAAACGAATGGGTAGTTCTCGATTCTAAAAATTAGAATCGATTCTTAGTGAGCAGCTTCCGATTCCAAAATAAGAATCGCCTATCCTAACTATGCTCATCTGTACTTTCAAGTGACAGAAACCATATTGCACAAATTGTAAAAGTTTCGGTGTCCTTCTTCCGTACATGATCTGAAAATTCAATTTGAAGGCCACATTTGGGTGGACTGCAGGCCTAGTAGAAGCCCATGCCCAATTGAATCTTTTCAACGTTTAATTGGACAAACTACTGATGGCCCAAAGAAAACTGATGGTGGAGTTTTTTTTGGAAAAATTTAAAATAATATGTGTAATCGTTTTGGGACACAATCTATATCTATCACCAATGATGACAGATTTGGAATTTGTAAAAAACAAAATAAAATGCAAATTCTTTAAATTCCTATACACACCGCGATACCAATGTGGCCGGAGATTTAGAAGGTAACACAAGTGTGACATAAATACTTATCACCTAGAGAACTAATCGACCTCAAGTCACTGGGCATGTAATAGGATAAATGCTGACCACTTGTGGAATTTACCCGACGATGCAAAGCCTATCATTCAACACGCAACCGTATCCAGCAAAGAGATACAGAGTTAACATAAGACTCTAATCCAAGAGTTCAACTATGAAATTCATTGATCAATACACTCTAACTTCTTGAGTGAAGCAAGCATAACTTCTTCTAGAAGACTCCAGATAGCATGAAACACGATGCATTAGAAACTAGATACATAGGGCTTTCCATCGATATTATAAGACGATATTGGAGAACGAAATCATCATCAAATCTTAAAAGAAAAACACTTTCAAAATTCTATCAGAAATTTATTTTTATTATTGTGCAATCACTTAAGTGACTATATGGTAATCGATCAATCACTTAATCACATATATAATTTTGATTTTTCTTTCAAGATCCAAACTTAAGCGAAAGATATCTTGAAGTGACTATGTATAAGTGTGTTGTTCAAGAGAATCGAACCCCAGATCTGATACTCTCCGACCCCATCCCCCAATCTCTTTACCAGCGGGGCCACACGCCTGTTGGCGTGTCTGAGTACTTATTAATCATTTTTGGTGATATATTTAGATAATGTTTTGACAATAGAATCTTTCTTTTCTAAGGCATTTCCAATTGTTTCATTTAAAATGGACCTGTTTTTCTTGGAAATTTTTGGCATGTGAATCATGAAGGTTTTGAATATACTCTCCTTAAATAAAATAAAAGAAACAAAAGTTTGCATTGTACCATCCAATAAATAAAAAAAAGTTGAAAACAAGCTACATGTTAAATTGCAAAAACCCTAGTTCCCTGTACAATAGATTAATGATACGTAGACAGAAATTGGATTCTCAAACCAATATCAAACTTATGCTAAAAAACTATAAGCAAATTATCCTCTAGCTCCCTAAATTTTCTTGAACTTCCAAATCTACATGTACAAATCCTTCCATGTATTTTCTTTTTTTTCCTTTTCTCTTCGAGTACCTTTCCTTTTTATACTTTCTTAATATTCACTAGCTAATAAGCTAGTCAATTCATAAAGGACAGCATCCAGACACAAAAATTTCATCAGCTTTTAAACGAGAAATCTGGGAAGCCCGACCTTAAGACCCAGTGTTTGTACATCTTCTTGGACCTGTCGCCTAAATTCTCTAAAGCTGAAGCTCCGGTAGACGGGAGGACAGTTGCAGCTCTCGATCACGGTGTCGTACGACGGGCAGAGGAAATACGCGGTCGAGTACCGCTCCCATTTCGAGTTGGTCGCCACCCGGTGCTGCACGCTCTTGTACACATCATTGCTCCATGCCTGAAACGCGAGCGTGCGGAGATGCTAATTCATCAAGAAGCATGCAACCATGACCCCCCCCAACAAGAAATCAATCAACAGCGTCGTATTCAACTGGAAAAAGGGTTTACCGACACAAGCCATACAGTAAGCATGTCCTAATCAAAATCACTACAACCCAACTCACAGGGTCCTACCGACGTGACGACGTTCTTGGTGGAGAGATCCTGTTTCGAATGACCTAAGTTCGCATTCGCAGTGTTTTTCAACGATACAGCAGTCAAAAGTGCTAATGATTGATAGCGAGAACAAGAAAAGACACACATGAACCTGAAACAAGTCGCCGATGTTGATGATGAGAGCATCTGAATTAGGTTTAACAGCGATCCACTCCCCATCTTTAACCAATTGCAGACCCCCCACCTCGTCTTGATGCAGGATCGTGAGGAAGTCGCTGTCGGTGTGTGGCATCAGTCCGAACACGTCGGGTGAGATTGGACATGGTGGGTATCTGTTCATCCTCAGATAGCAAGTGCTTGGCAGGCAATTCTCCATGAAGAAGGTGGATTTGTGGCCCAGTTCTTCTGCTAAGATCTCGGCTAATCTCTGTGCTAGGTTCGATACAGTCCCAGCAAATTTTTCCATTGTCGAGCTGGTGACAAAGAATCATGACCCCAGAAGAAAATTTAACATGTAAGTACAAAAGACGAGCAATGCTAGTACAACGGGGGAAATGATCAGACATGAACGAGCTCAAAAGTTTAGGCTGTTAAATGCAAACAGTCCGATAGCAGCGTTAACATTATGTTTTATAGAGAAAAGAAATTGGAGCGGCTTGATCATTCCAAGAATTCACCATTTTGGTCTTAGAAAATTCATGCTTGCATGCCCTACTTTATGCAACATCAAGTGATGTCATGTTAAAGTAGGACAGCTATGTGACCTAATTGACTATTATCCTGAGAAAATGGACAAAACATAAAGGAAGAGCTGATAATTAAGAATTACTAATGGAAATAAAAACCGCCATCCATAGGTGGTGCTAACAAACTACTATAGAAAAAAGTGTACTGAGGGTATTAAACCTTGTGTACGGGATGTAATCAAGTCCGAAATCTTTTAATCGAATCAATTAAGTCTGAAGCCTTTTTAACAAAGTACGATGAAGTCCTTTGGTGAACAGTGGCTAAAATAGTCTACGTGTCACTCAAATATGGGCTAACGGTATTGTTAAATTGCAATTTTCAACGTGAGTTTTAGGCCTGGACTTAAGTGACTTAATTGAAAAGTTTAGGATGCAATTGCACTTTTTGGTAAAGATTTAGGACTTGATTGAACCAACCAAAAGGTTATGGCCTCGATTGCATTTTGCACGTAAGGTTTAGGACTTGTAGTGAAATTTCCTCTACTAACCTGTATCCAAATATGACTCATTCATGAAATGATGAATGGACTAATTGGGCATTTGCATAAACCTGGCAATTAAACAAGTTGAATTGGGTTTGTGCTTGGGTCAATACGGATTTGAGTTGTAAGTCGGATCGTGTTAAACAGGTCATGATTTGATTGACCGTCGTACATAGGGGTGTTTCAGAAAACCAGCTAAACCGGCATGACCGAATAGGTTCCAAGGTGGGTATTAAGGCTCACAAGATACGTTCCCAAATCCGAATATTTGAAACTGATGAGGTACAAGGTAGATTGCACGATGTATGACATTAAATTCAACCAGTACACATAATCAGTAAATAAATGATGATAGAAGAAGCTGTAATATTCAGTACTTATACGTGGAAAAAAAATACTAAGTTGTTATGGAATGTACATTTAAATCAAGGAAAATCTAGAATTCTAAGAGCTGACAATTCTGTTTAGTAGACTGCAATTCCGCTTTAATCAATTTTAGCTTCGCCTACCTCGATGAAAAACCAACTGTTCTCATAAGCAACCTATTTCTAATCAATAAAACGTACATAAGCTTTTGAATCTACACAACATGTGATAATCAATTATCAGGACTATCCGAAGAAAGGTGAGGTGCATTTGGAGGCCACGTCATGTCTGAGTACGAGCATGGCAGAATGCCAGCTCATCTTTACTTGCGAAGATCACATGACGAGGTGACAAGAGGCCATGCATGCAAAAAAATTTATATCACGTACATTCTTTATGATGTGCCAGCAGTGTCTAATGCATGTCTTGGGGTCTACAAATAATAGAAAACTTGGCCATATTATCTTTCTCTCCAATAGCTTTTCATTGGGCAAATTACTCTCTCTTTCTAGTTCAAGGGCTGCGCTGCAATGACACGCATAACCCTGAAAAACAAAGTGTATTGGAAGTGGATTTCGATATGCGTTAAGCTTATATTGCTTAATGACCTAACTTATCTCTCCAAAATTAGCATGATAGTGTGATGGTACAGTAAGAGAGACCCTAACATTTGTGTTCGATTTGAGCTGTGGTCAATGATATCATTTCCTAATGTTTAGAATGACTACGTGTATGTTTATGACAAAAACCCTCATTTTTTTTCGGTAAGGTAAGACGTTAAAAAAAAAAAAAACCCTCATTTTTTGTACTCGCTCTGCCTATGAAATTTTATCTTTTCAGTGTTGCCTACTGATTCATAGTTTTTACTCATATTTACTTATCTTTGAAAAAAAATAAAAATTTACCCATGTTGCATATGGTAACGATTAAGAGCAAGATAACTCATATTGATCGGATTGACCAATTTCTTGTTTGACGATTCTATTGATGTAAAAGTAATCACACACTCTAGAGAATACCCAGCTACTTTGCGGCCCTAATCCTAGTGGGTTCAGTAAAATAATGTTAACCTTCCTAGATGTTATCTCAACAGTCGTGCTAAAATGCAAAGGCAAGTAGATAAGATCTAGAAATGAAAGAGTTTCAAGAAAGGGAAACCTTAACATTTAAGAACTTTGTGCGCAAAAATCCTTTAAGAAAAGTACGGTGATTAATTGGTTGTGATTATTACCTGAGAGTGCTGTTGCAGCCTCTTGTGCCGGAGATGATATCACTCAAAGGGACGTGGAAAGCCTCGGACCACGACAACTGCCGCAAGCACGTCGCCGAAGGAGTCCCCCACCGATAGCTCCCAGCCGAGAAATTCAAGTACTTGTCCTCCCTTGTCTTCTTCTCGAACGGCTCTCGGAACACCTTGATCTGCTCCTCCCTCATTTTCTCCAAGATCTCTCGTGAAATCCCATGGTTCAGCACCTGGAAGAACCCCCACTCCCGTGAGGCCCTCGCGATCTCCAACTTGCACCCGCGTCTCTCCTCCTCACCAAGGCTCAGCCGGCCGAGGTCGATCACCGGGAGGTCGCGCTCCTCGACGGCGGCGACGGGCGCGGTCGGGGCTTTGTTGGGTAACTTCTTGAAGAGGGTTTTGTAGGTTTCTTGAAATGGCGGGTCTGATGAGTCCATGGTTAGAGGCTGGAAAACAAAGGCAGATGGATGTCTGAGGCTAGATACACAAGGGACATGAAGAGGGTGATTTCTTGTTTTTTTTCTCTTTTGTTCTGGGACTTTCTCTTGTGGGATTGAGACAGAGAGAAACAGATTGGAACACCGCGTAAATGTTGTCGTCGATGAAAACATTATGAGGAATTCCTTTTTTCTTCTCACGTTTTACTTGGACTCTTAAGACAAAGTTGATCGATCGTGTGTCTTTTCTCGGTCGATGTATTGAAGATACCTATAAGCCCCTTGTTTTTCTTGCTTCTCAAAGCTACATCTTTGTACATGCAGGTCATAATTAAAATATAGATAAATGTTATGAGGAGGCAGATTTATGTCATGGAAGAGACAGTGAGTTAACAATTTCTAGACCGGAATAAGAAGATTCATGATACTTCTCAAATATCGTCACAAACTTTGGACCATATGGAATATCGGTATTAGCTTAGGCTAGTGATAACCATTACACCCTGGCATCAGTTATCTTCGAATTCTAGTTTCAGTCGTCATCATCAATTGCACATTGTGGGGTAAATCCATTTCATACCATGTGCGGTTAATGTAATTGAAAAGCCAATAGTATGTGGAGTTATATTGGAGAATGAGATGTAGTAGAGGATCAGATAATTCTTGGGTTACCAATCTTTGGGTCCACCTATAAAATATTGACATGGAATGATTGGGAAAAAAGGGTTTGAAGGTCCTGATATCATTTCATTGTGAGGAGTCCCTCCATTCAAAATGTGACACGTGTTTGACTAAATAAGAAATCTGTAAGAAACCCTAATCTCAAGTCGACAATCTCCTCTGTATAAAGACACTTGTTAACTTCTAATTAAATAGAGGGTCTCGACAATCTAGGTGCCATCTAACTTTTCTGCCCAGGAGAGAGAGTTGGTAACAAACATGGACATTCAAACATAGAGCATAGAAACCATTCAAAATGTGATACGTGTCTGACTAAACAAGAAATTTGTAAAAACCCTAACCTCAAATCGGCAATCTCCTCTATACAAAGACACATTTTAACTTCTAATCAGATAGAGGGTCTCGACAATCTAGGTGCCATTGGACTTTTTGCTCGGTAGAGAGAGTTGATAACACAGATGGAGGTTCAAACAAAGAGCATAGAAAGGCACCACTCAAAACGGGCATATGCTCATCTTAAAGGCTGTCTTACATGTTTTGCTTCTCATGCCAGGTTCAACTTTCAAGTGAAGAATAACTCTAAAAGTAAGGGGGAGTATGTTTCCCCACCTAAACTTCATTTGATAGACTAAATCGCACTCTCCCAATTCAAGAAAGTGCACCAAATATTTCACTTAAATGCACCGTCACACATTCATTGTGACCAATATAATAATTGTCTTTTCCATGTCGACGGAGGCCGACATTGAACGGGCCTATGATATGATATATTTTAAATTTCAGAATCGTGACAGAAGCTTCAGCACAGCACAGATGATGCACGCTGGCCCATCACATTTATCTCCAATTTTTCCTTTTTTGGTCGAAATTTTATTTATCTCCAATTTCACCATTGGCTTTTGGTTGGCAATCCCTTCGTTGTTCAACCCCACCAGCTGACCGTACATCACGATACAGGTTCATCAACTCCAATTTATCCGATTTCTGTCACTTTCCCAACATTAAATTTCAGAAACGCTGCATAGATCACTTTTCCGCAGGGGTCAAAAGGGGCCAAGAACCCTTTCAATTATTGAGCATGATTAGAAGGTCCTCGGACAGCCTTTCACTGATAATGACCACCCACTCAAGTTGGTTGCTGATTTTGTTTGTTCAATGAATGGAGAAATTTAAAAGGAAAATTATGAAAAGGTGATGCCGATCTTATGGTGTTTGTCGAAACTACTTGTACCCTTTTGGGCCCTCAATGTCTAAAAAGTTTTCTGCGTAATTTATGCACTAAAATATAATATTATCATCTATTAATTAAATATTCTCATTTGTGATCACATTTCAAGAAAATTATGAGAATGAAGAGACCTTTTAGATGTGTGATAATACCTTATCAACATGCAATCTGATTTAAATATTACATCAAAAACTTTATTGTGGATTAGATATGCAAAATAGTTCAAATAGATTAGTCCTCTCGATCAGATTTATAGACTGGCTCCAAACTTGTTGGGCTAGGATTTACCATCATCAAGGGTTTAAGAAGGATAATACTCCTTTAGTATTCCAGGTTTTCCCTTCTTTTAGTTAAGAATATGCGTGAGTTTGAATAGATCGAATCGATAAAGCTCGTCAAACTCGTCATATCAACTGACTTTTTTTTTGGCTCAGAAGTCATATGAATAGACTTGTGATCATATCATGTATGGAATATCACAGTGTCCTATTATATTTCATTGATTGAATATATGTCCTGTATTTTTCTCTTAATCTTGCCTTTGTCCAACTCATTACACCCAACCCTCTTGCACTCTCCTCACCATATCTTTTTCAACCCCCCAATCTTATTTTGAGTCCATCCATGATGTAGATTGAAAAGGGTACAGAAATCAAAACCCAGACCTCCTAATTAATTAAAAAAATGCAAATTATAAAAGAAGAATGAAAAATAGGAAACAGCTATTCCTTTAAAATGAAAGGTTAATATGTTGACACATGCAGACCTCAAATGTGTAATTATCTGAAGTAATTTTCACGGAACCTGCAAATGCCTGACCTCATTGGTCATGCAATCGCAGTCAAATTAAATTAAATCAATTCTTGTGTCTTAATATATTTGTCGAAAGTCCCCGAGGGAACATATCATACCAAGAGTATTTAAAAGATAGAGACATATATAAAAATAATAACATGCAAAATATTGTCCATAGCTTTAAATATTTCGTTCGACCACATCTTGAAATTAGAATGCCATGCACTTTTTCAGGTTGACCTAAAAGTTCTGGAAAAGCAATCAAAGGTGGAATCCAAGCAGCGCACATGTTTTGTGATGAATAAAATAATAAGCTAGTACTGTATCAGCAAGAACTATATGGTATGCCCAACAAATTAAACGATGAAGAAATATTTGTGTTGATTTCTCTTACATGGCTCAGATTCTCGACCAAGTTAACGACCTTCACCATGGCTTGCCTCCTTTTACCTTCAGCTCTGCGATAACCCAGAAGTAAATAGATAAACAAAAAGCTTTTCTCAGTTGAAGATTATTCTGTGCCTATCGATAATGCCAAGTATATATGAGAAAAGCTGAAGATAGTAACCTGCATGCCGATGCACGGAGACGTCAACTTCTCTCTCTGCTTGTAGTTTGCTCGCTCAAGTAAAGAAAATGAAGAGAAGGAACACTCGCATACTTGTAAAGAAAGAATGCGTGCTTCTTATATAGGACTGACTTGCAAGTTGAGGAGAGAGAGGTGGGGGGGGGGGGATGGGGGGGTGGGGGGTATGTATATAGTCCTCTAAGTTTGGAAGTGAAAGAGATTTTATAATGGAGTGAGCGACTATGCTTGTAAGGAAAAGTTCATATATATATTTGGAGCATGTGAGCCCACTCCATCGTAATCATCAGATCATATGAGCTTTCCATGAGATCCACACTAATCAATGACTGATATGGAAGGGACTAATAAGTACCGGATGCATCAACACTTGCTCGCTCATGAGAAGAACACGCTTCTTCGAAATCCACCAGAGAAAATGTTTCCCCAAGGCACTACTTTTTGCCATGCTTATTCAAGCCCGTGTTAAGAAAAGGGAGACTAAATCTTAGCTTTCCATTTATGGATAGAGATTGTGATATTGACAAAAAGAGGATGAGAGAGAAGTGAACAACTTGGAGGAATGAGAACCAAGTGAATTTGGAAGTTGAAAGGGCCAATCAATTCAATGTTAGGTGTAGTACTAAGAGCGTGGAGAAAAAATGGATTTGATCCATTAGAACAAGCCAATAACATACTAACAGCAAGTGGGATTATATGCTGGATTTGACAAAGAAAAAGAGTCTCTCTTCTGGTTTTTTTTTTTTTCATTAGAATAGGTTGTTTCTAACCCGCTTATCATCATCCGCAAAATATGGCGGTGTCAAATTAATGCCCAATACCTCATTTTAGGTAAATCACTCAAAGGAAGCCCTTCTCTGATCTCATCAATAAATTTAGTTGGATCCATCTTTTGTCAAAGTATTTAAACCACTATATTATGAGCCATCTCAATAAAATAACTACTTCATTCTCACCAAAAATTAAGAACTAATGGAGTTATATTAGACTTGTCAAAGAGAATAAATTCACACACACACACACACACACACACACACACACACACACACACACACACACACACACACACACACACACACACACACACACACATATATATAGATATATAGATATGGTGGGAGTTGAGATAGAAATCTGATGCCTCATCTTGAAGAGATTACCTTAAGGGAGCCTACCCCTAAGCCCATCAAGATGTTTGACAGGATCAACTTCCCCTAAACCATCGATTTATAAGTCAATTAGTTACATTACATGTGCTACTTCATCTCCAGTAAATCATCATATGTGAGATTCTTTTAATGTCGCACTAACACATGCTCATAATCATATTTTGACTCAAGGAAAGGTGTTCGGCATGACCGTGAAAGCATAAGCTAAATCTCAATGAACGGGGGCTACAACAACAATTTCTAGTTTGACCTATGGAATATGTCATTAGGGTTTGATCCCTCCCATTTCATCTTGACTAGTTCATAACTTCTCTTCTTTTATCACTTAAATTTTATACCATTGTATCTTTCACCATCATTTCTCAGTCAAACTCATTTAATAGACGGTTTCACACTCACCATCAACAAGCATGAAATCTGGCCAGCAGGAACGTATCAGATGTAGTGTTGGTTCGGGTGAGACTTGGATGAATGAGCACCAATTGAAGGATAAAGGATGTCAACTCATCAATGAAGAGTGTATTCTCTCTCTCTCTCTCTCTCTCTCTCTCTCTCTCTCTCTCTCTCTCTCTCTCTCTCTGTGCAAGTGTGGTTGTCTGAAACAGGGCACATGATTGGTGCTGGACCCGACCCGACCGTGGAGCCGTAACCTCTAAGTCCATGTCGGCACGTACGTGGCAGCATCGAATGTCACATGCATGTCGAAATGGTGAGGATTTTCACGTCGACATGATATTGAAGAAATTTTCGTGGGAGGGGAGAAAAGAAATGACAAAATAGGGTGCGAATGGGCATGCATATGCATGTGCAGGGCTTTAAATGATGAAAGGCATGGAG